CCCCAAAACCCCAAAACCCCAAAACCCCATCATGATCTTTTTATTTAAAATTGTAGTGTAATTAATAAAGTTAAAAAAGCATGTATTATGATATTCATTAATTCTATAAGTTATTATCATTATTTATTTTTTATTTTATGGGACTGCGGCTGCTTAATCTTTGCTATCTTGCTGTCTTAAGTTTGTTGATTATCAATTATTGATCCTCAGCCATTTGTCTCAATTACTGAAGAGCCATTTGATTGTTAATCTGTGCTTTAATGCCTTAGGGATTCACAAGACCATTAATATCTTGATTTAGTTATTTAAATTTATCATAGCCTGTTTAAGTGTAGTAAATCTAATTATGCTATTGTTTTACACTAGATTGAGAAGACATGTGTTGCTTGTGTTGCTTGGATGAAACTGATACTCTAGTGATTATTTTACTTTTTGGTTAGGCTTAGCCATTAATAAGTTTTTATGGCTGCCTTATTTCACATTATTCCAACTAGTTCTAATGCTCTTTAATTTATTCACCATTTTCATTATCTATTTGACCTTCTTCTTATAATGTCCTTGATCTAATATTTTATAATGCATTTCTTGTCTATATTTTATATATACTAAGACTAGGATCGGCTACATATTGATCAAATATAAATAATCTTCTACGAAGCTTAGTGTCAGATTTCATTTGAGTTTACTTCTTATTTTATTGAGATTCCGATCTAAATGGGAGATTATTATAGATTATATTTTTCATTGGTTTTTGTTTTTAGGTCTCTGGAGGTGTTCTTTGTAGATATGACATTCTCATTCTATAGTCAGTTGATCTAGATTCTCGAGCTGAGAATACTTTATTTCTTGGATCAAAATTCTACTATGAATACGACAAAAATTCGTTATATCTAGGTTTTATATGAGGATAATTGTTATTAATTTGAGGCATGTTAGCAGCTGTATTAATTGTATTATTTTATTACTATTTATGGGCGCTAATGAAAGGATTAGGCTGGTCCTACTAATGATCTTAACTAACACCCTAAGTTGCCATGTAAGTTTGATAGTTGTCCTAGAAGCTATGGTTGACTCTGCGAACATTTTTCCTAAAATTACTGGAGGTCTAAACGCTTCTTTGTTAGATTGTATTTTGAGTTTAACCTTCAACATTGGTTTTAATTGTACTTTTTGAAAGCAGATTGAAATTGTTTTTATTTGGATCTGTGTTAAATGCAATTTAAGTCTTAATTTTATTTCTATCAGTGTTAATTCTGGCGAGTTTATTATCTTTCATATAGGAATCCATAAATAAGTTGTGTCGCATTAGAGTCAATTAATCTGTAAGTTAGGATAGCTAATTAGGTTAAATCTTCTAACTTTCTATGACTTTCTTAAGCTTCAGTAAATGCTCCTGTTTAGATCCCTAAGTTACATTTCCTTCTTTATCATTGTATAATACCTTTAACAATTCTTAATAATCTTCTTATTTGAGCATTTTCTACTGTGTCCTAGAAGTCTTACCATAAATATCATTTAAAACTGCTAGTCCATCCATTGTTTTCTAAATCTCTTTCATTTGAATGTGCTTATAAAGCTTTCTTTTTCTTCTACGAGATTTCTTCCTCTTTTTATTTGGACTATCATCTTAATCATTGCTAGGCTGCAATACCTCATCTTCAGATTCATCACTTCCCTTTACTCTGCTAATAACTACATTTTAACTTTCGATTTCATTTTGATCTTGTCAATTAGGCTAGTGTTATTGAGATTTGGCTTAATCTGGATTCAAATCACTTTCAGAATCTAATACTAATGATTATGGTATTTATTTTTGCATATTACTCGATTCCATTTTTAATTATCACAAATTATTTCAATTTGGAATATCTTAATTAATTGGGGTTTTGGGGTTTTGGGGTTTTGGGG